TGAGAATAAAAGCCTCCACATTTTGCACTCTTCACATTGTATGAGAAGATTAACATTCCTTACATGCTGCTGTGTAGCATTAAATGGTAGAGTCTTCTTATTCTTCTTCTGCATATTACTAGGAATGAGGTCTTCTGTAGGTGATTGACCATAAACATCATAAAAATCAGCATAATGTCCACCATCATTATAAATTGGACTAGGTAAATCATGAATACCTACAGCAAATATTACAACCATTAATATATGCATGCTATAATACTTTTAACTTAATATTGCAAGTATATCAAGCTGCAAAATTTCATGCTATGTTATGTACCAATAAACAGACACAGTGGAAAATTAAAGAAAAATAATCAAAGGTTTTAAAACCATGTTCATTCATGTCCAGCAAAAACAAATTTTACACATACATGTAGTTAATTATTTAAAATTAGCTAATATTAATATGGACTACTATTGATGAAATACACTTAGATTTAAGTATCTCATAAAAATCAGATTTCACATTTTGAACATAAAAAATCATCAAGTTATACATGTGTTATTTAATGTTAATATTTCTAGTTAATTAAGTGGGTGTGGTTCATAAATTTAAATTTATAAAATGACGACAAGGGTGCTTCATGAATAACATATATGCAATGATTTAAGCATTGGGAGAAATTCAAAAAAATTATTTGTATAAGGTGAATATCTTGACAATGCTGTTGTAAATATTACTTAGAGAAGGAAATGAGTGTTTCATTAAAAAACACAGTGAATGTGATACAAATTAAGTATCTGCATATCGCATATTACAACAATAAGTAATTACTCACCAGAAAAAACTTGAGACGACATTTTGACAGGACGACATACAGTACAACCTTCCTCTCCACATTTCCGAATCGTCAAAGAATACTTGTGAAAGGTACAACAATGTGAAATAAACTGAGATAATGACTGAAGTTTCTCCAATGACTTCTGAGTTGTGTCATCTCTTGTCAATGATGAATCTATAGTGAGCAGAATTTCCCAGGTAGCACTCTCAAATACACGAAACTTCTCTCCTTTCAATTCCAAATGAACCATAATGCTAGATAGTAGATCCTTTGGTTCTTTAAGTGAATTAGTAATGTCCTCTTTAAAAGACGAGCAGGCTTCTCTAAGATCTTTGAGGCTGTTACATTTTGTTAGAGAATTTTCAAACTCATTACTTCCAGGACTTCTCATTATTCCAATGCATTGTATGCCAAGATTGACAATTCACATGATTCGCTCCACTGGGTTAGCCCATGAATGTGAGGGTGCTGTCCGTCCTGCAATTAATACATCTAAATCCAAATTCAAAAATAAAGCTATGAGAGAAAGTTGGACACTTAAGTAAGTCAATCTATGGTCTGGCCCTCCATCAGAATAGATAAACAGGATATGTCGACCTTCCATTCGAGTTAAAAGGCAATTATATAACTCAGTAGCATGTCGTATTGGTGAAGAGGGTTCATAAACTGTTTCTTTAAAGCCAATGAATACTTCTCTGGTATAAAATGACATATCAATAAATTCAGGAATATGTACTAGCAAAATAACACTTGGAGTTAGTTTAAACTTAGCAAAGTCATGATCTCCAACAGCAAAAGTAATATGACTTGAAACTATGACTTGGCGTCCTCTTTCAGCTGCAGCAATTGGAAATTCCGGCTCTCCTACCTTGATACTATGCTTATCATCAATGCAGACAAAACAAGAGATGTCCCTATATTTAATAGCATATTCCCTCATATAGCGAAATAAGGAGGCACAATAATGAGCATCTGGGTGTGACTTACGAAACTGGCATTTCTGTATAACATGCTTTGCTTCCAAACGACTAGTATATCTTGCTGAAGAAGAGGCACGTGGATTCCTAGGACAAAAGTTCAGCTGTACCCATGATATGAAAGGTATTGGAGTACCCTCTGGGCAAAGCTTCGTTACTTCTTGAATTAAATCACGAATTGAAATGGCCTTAGCCATATAGACTACAGAATCATGCCTTCGCTCTTGCACTGAAGTACACTCAGACAAATACAGTGCACACATTTCCCAAAAAACTTTGAAACAATCTCTACCATTAGCATTTAACTCACGTAAATCAACAATCACATCAGGGTCCTCCATTGACAAAAATTCAGAAACATGCTCATCTATTTCATGTTCAGCAGTAGTTCGAGCTGCAGATTGATCTCCAGTTAACGACTGATACATGGCTCGCAGAAGATGTGGTTTGCTCTTTAGAGAAATACGGCCAACGAGATGAAAGAACTGTCGTCTCATTGCACGTGTGTGAAAAGTGGGTATTTCTTTTTTAATGGTACCAACAACTCGCATTTTCTCCGTAGTACAAGCTTCAACACTCACATGGTCAGGAGCTTTCCAAATGAAATGATAGTTACCCACATTTGATCCATGGGTGTAAGTGAAAAAAAATACAGGACACGAGAGACCTTTCTCTAATTCTCGAATACAAAGATACTTTGGGCGTGGTTCTTTAGGCAAATAATCATTCACATGTATTGCTTGATACATAATCAGTATTACATACAGCTGAATCAAGCCGAGATAAAAGTGACGATACTGACAAGGACTTGGGTAAATATTTTACCGCAGATGTATCTGAAAAATTAACTGAAGGAGAGGAGGAGGAGTGATGCAACTTCATAGCTTTACTACGAATACTTAAATAAGAAACATAAGACGAAAGAGATTCAATTAGTTGTCTCAAAGGCTGCTTGAAAGTAGTCCAATTGCTCTTTTCTATCCAGCTACTAGTGACATGGTCCTGTAATACTGAAGACAACTCGAGA